AGTCATGTCTTTCGCAACTAATATCACCGCAAATGAGACACACATTAGACGTCTTCGAGTCCTTTGCGATCAAATCTTTGCAAACATTTTCACTAATTTTATCACTAGTTTTGAGCCAAAGAGTGGATAAATCGTTGCACTTCTTCTTCAGCACAGATTGTATTGATTGAAAACCCAAACAAAACATCACTAATAAAAGCAATAGAGAGTAAAATCCAATCATAAATATGTTTAACATTAATATAAACACAATTATTATGAATATTGTTATGAAAAGCGTTTCAATCGACGACCTCTTCATTGTTTGCCAACAAATACTGCTTTTAATTGTCATATAATATAAAACTCCGAAACAGTACTCAATAAATAGCAATGCATTTAATTAATTAATTATTTAATTTAAAAATCTAATATATATTTACGTTTAACTAATATTAATAACAATTCAATTGACAACTGTTTTGATTTGAATGATATGTGAATTCACATCAATTATGTCTCACTTATAGCCTTTGCTTTCAATTCTGTGATAAAATTCTACATTAAATTCCTATCTATTAATAGGTATGAAAACAATTATCAATTCAAATGTTTTTTAAATTGAAATTAAACTAATTATATTAATTATACAAAAATCATGAATATTAATGGCTGTAACTTATTATATAACTTATTGTGTACTTTATAGTACTTACAAATTATTCAGTCAACTATAGTCTCATAACTAGTGTGACCACCTTTAGGTTTAAGAATAGAGAACATTTGACCAAATTTTCTTTAAAATAAATAACAAATAGAGAACACATATTTTATGTTAGTTTTTCTTTTAAATTAAAAAATTGAGATTATTTACTAACAATTTTGTAGTAAAATTAATTGTATTGGGTGTATAAAAAATGGCAATTATTAATCAAGAAAGTGTCAAATCTTTCAAAAAGTTTATTATTGTATAGATAAATAAATATTTAATAAATTTAGTAAATTTTTATTATTTATTATCAAATTAAAAAAGAGAGCAGATCCGATCCAAATAGAGAACTGCTCTCTGAAATAGAGTAAAGGTGGTCACACTACTCACAACTCGTAATATAAGTTGCATTACAAATAATTAATGCAGAAATCGATTATCGATATACTGTAGGAGTTTATCAATGAAATAGTAACTGACAGGTAATTATAATTACCTGTATACTGTACAGGTATTTTAGTTGTGGGCAGACCATAACATTTAAAACACATGCCATTTATACTCATGTATTACCGATTGTTTATATAATTGGTCATTATATCAATACCTTCAATACTATGTATAAATAGGTCTGTATTATATAGACTGTATATTCAGACAAATTTTAGATTCTAAAGAATCTTGCTACAACTCATTGCTATAACTTATTACATTTATACTGCTTAATTGGCAATTGAGTGTTTAAATTGATTTAAAAATGAGCAAGATACTACAGAAACAGATGTAATTTACTAGTAAATATTAATTATAAATAAATTGACTTAAACTTTAATGAATAAAATAGTTTTAAGTTAATTGAATAATGATCTGATATGGGAAACACATAACAGTATTTGTATTCACTGTATTAGCTCTCACCAGACATTGACATTCCTAAGTGTTTATGTAATCTTAATAACTATTTTCAGTTCAAATTTGTATATAATTGGATAAAAAGATAATTACTTTAAAAGGAAATAATTATTGACAAATATTTGTAAGAAAATTGTTATCATGTAATCATAATATTCTCAATAATTATGGGAATTCTTTATTATATGACATCAGTCCATAATCAATGTCAATCTCAGAACTCAGGATATATTATTGTAGATCAAATATGCATACATGGTACTACTCCTAATAATTATGAATCCCCTAGCTCTCGTGGTTTTGATGTAAAGCTTTACAAAAATGCATTACATATAATTTAATTTTTAAAATTAGTTTCTTTGCTTATGTTTTTGTAAGCGCGATTTAAATAATTTAATGTAGTATGTTTGGTACCTTTATTATGCCTATTGATTCTATTAATTAAATTTTTACCGCAAAGCTTGAGCTTAAGGTTCAAATTGTAGTTTTCAAAGTGACCCATCTAGGTCGATTTAATAAAGCGATGAGATGGCAATATGTTGAATTTATTGAAAGTAACAAAATTTGTTAATATTATATTTAATATTATTTTTGTTCTCTATGAGCATTTAGGCACCTTACCGTTAGTGTTGCTTTTAAAATTTGTAAAAAATTAAAAACCACATTATTTATAATTGAATTGTGGTTAAAAATCACATAAAGTTATGATATTTTCTCAATTTATTTTTAAATAATAAAATTTAAATAATTATTTTAAAAAATAAGTATATAAAAGCAATTATATCTAGGCAATTATCTAATATTTTTGTTTAGCATATTATATTTATACCATATTATGAGTCATTATTCTATGTTTTATAAAAATAGTGTATAATTAACAACATTGTTATATATTGATTAGATATAAATTTAGTGGAATAATGGTGTATGGTGAGAATTTGCTATAATTCACTGCAATCAGCTCTAATCACCAGTAATTCAACGATAATATCTCTTATGTTATTCAATATAACGAACTTAACTTCCGATTGCTATTCACTCAATATTTAATAGCATAAGAAGTATGAAGTGATGTATGCTTTAAGTGATAAAACAAATATATATGTATATTAATGTAACAATCATTTGTAATATAATAAAATAAATAAATAATCATATCCTTGAAAGTAGGAATTCCGTTCACATTATGTTTTACTAGAAATACAATTAATTCATAGAAAAATAAAGAAATATGTGTTAATAAGTTATTATCAAAAACATGCAAAGCGTGAAATAACTAAAACAAATTCATTTGTATTGACATTGTTTTAAGTGACAATTGAATGAAATGAAGGATTCGATAACATCTAAACTTTATATTTTTCAAATTATATGTATTTTCAAATTGTTTAATTAAATGACTGCAAAAATATTCAAAATTCACGTTCATTTCAATTCTACGATACGAGTAATAAATATTCAAAATATTTTTATCACATCCTCTCAACTCTTTCGTTATAAACATTTACTAAAATATTATACAATAAAAAACAAAATTAAATGCCAATTATATTATACAGTATAAACATATTAATATGCATAAAGTTTTTACAAATATGCTCATTTCGTACACTATAACAGTAATATACTGAATATAATATTATTTAACCATATTATTGAATACAGTATATGTTTTGCTTATTTAAAGAATATTTCCTATTATTCATTGGATAATAAACTTAAATATTCAATATATACCCACTGTATGAACAGCTTAACCATGTTTTTCAATCGAATAATCGATTGCTTTAAAATATTACAATTATAACTACAGTACATTTATTGTATCTGTTACTATTTAATAACTTTTCTATTTCGGGCGCATTTTAGTTACACTTAAATTGTGTGGTCAGATGGTATTGATTTGCAAATATCATGTTTGTTGTCTCATGGAAGATTGCCTCATAAGTTATAACTGGCAATATTGTATAGTTTAACCATGTACAGTATAGTAGATATAATTGGGAGTAATTGTGAGCACAATCGAATGCCGTGTTGTACATAATGTGTACAATATTGCAATGTTGTGAACGATTGATTTGACTTACATTTAGGGCAACCAGTGATTGACTTGAAATGCAGTGAAACAAGTCTTGCGAATGCAGTTATGCATTAGCCTTAAGGCAATGTCTAGTCTTGCAGTCTTGTATGGTCTGTGACTTCAGTGAATGAATTGAATCCATGAAACGCAAGCATAATGTGAATAATGTTTGGTATTTTGAAATAAAATGAAGATTTCATTGATTTATAGGCTTTTTTCTTCGTAAAGCATTGATATATTTGTTTTGTAATTAACAGTAAAATAAATGAATTATAAATTGAATTAAAAATATTAATTAAATAAATTAAAAAACAAATAAATAAATTATTTTAAAAATTAAATCAGTAAAAATCAATTGATTATAAATGAACTAAAAAATTTTATAACGATTTTTTCAATTATTTGAAAAACATAAAAGGCATGAATAATATTAATAATAATAAAAGTAATAATTATAATAATATATTTATATATAATTAAAAAATAGGACAATTAAAAAACATAGCATTTTTATATAAACAGAATATTGCAGTTACAGCACAACAATAATATATATTTATATTATATATAGATTTATATTTACTTTTCTTTCACAAAAATATATAAGAATTCATAAAATTTTGAATAAATATTCTGTAAAATCGAATAAAACATGATTTGTATTAAGAATTTTAAAATTTGATTAATCGGTAAATCGGTTATCAGTTATCAGACAATAATTGTTGGATCAAAACGGCGACGATTAGAGCGAATAGAGTAAACAGCAAAAGGAGAAGTATTGCACACCTTTGGTCAGAACTGATGGTGGGCTCCGTCTTGTCGGTCGTACGGCTCTGAGACTGTTGTTGGAGTTGTTGTTGTTGGAGAAGGAGCTGCTGCTGATGAATCTGATGCTGTTGTTGTTGGATCTGCTGGTGAAGCAGTTCTCGGCGGCTCTTTTTGGTCAACTTGTTGCTAATGGGCTGCTGTTCGGGTGTTGTGATTGTGAGCGCATTACTCACCACCAGATGCTCTTCACTCGTTGTGCGGACTCGAAATGAATATTGTTGTTGAGAGGAGAGGTGCGAAATGCGACAGTTGTTGGAGTGGCCCTGATATACGATCCGACAGTTACCGCCATTCACTCCTACCATTGACTCGTTCTCATTACTGTCAGTACCGGTCGACGCCTTGTTGTTGAGCAACATCTCCACCACGAAGTGCTTGGCGTACATGTGGTCGCCGTCAGAGTGCGTCCACTTTAACTTAACGGTGTTGGCAGTCAATGAAGTATACGTTAGGTTTAGGAGCTCGAGTTGAGGCAGTAAATGCTTGGGAGACCTCTGCAATACCGGCACCGCATCCGACACTAATCTATTTTTGGCGTTCACTTCTTCGCTCTCGTCATCACTTAATTTCGTAAAAATATTAATACTTTCTTTAGTCTGATTCTCTTCCGAAGACAATTCAATGGAATAATCCGTTTCTTCGACATCGATGTCTTCAGTTTTGTTTAATTGGCATTCGGTTTGATTAATACTATCGGTTGAGTCCGTCTGGAAGTGATTGGTCAGCGATTGACAATGACTGAGAGACGGGTCACTAATCTCAATCCCAATGGTGTCTTCATTTTGATTGTCTTGCATCACATATGATATGCAAGAAGTTTTCGATTGGATGTCATTCAGAGTATTCCTATTATTCCTGTCAGAGGTTCTGTCAAACGTTTGTTCGTAATCTTCAGACAAGTCATCGTTAGACTTGTCATCCGATATTGCAGTTAGAGATTCTTCGTGTGTTAGAGATAACAATTGATCAGTCGGTGACGTGTCCGCCATTTTGTCATTATCTTTATTGTTCGCTTTATTGTCAACACTATTGTCGGCAATTTCTAAATGATTCTGACATTCGTTGGACAACTCATCGCATTCTTCGAGTTCCTCTTCTTCTTCTTCGACAATATCTGCGCTAATGTTGTTCTGAACTCTGGAATCATTGGAAGAGAGATTAATTTCCAAAAGGATTGAAGGTTTTTCTGAAGATTCAAAATGAGAACAATTGGTTTTGTCGATCGAATGGTTCAACTGTTTGTGCTCTTCCAGACTTGTATAGGAGAATGGATGGGCAGGTCGTGGCGCGGATACAAACGAACCATTGTTTGCAATCAGTTCCTTGTTATTCATTCCGCGATCCATCATATCTTTGCTACTAATTGTGTTATAGGTTTTGTTGATAACGTGTTTGGGATCAGAGAGGGAAAGGCAGTCGTTCTCGTTCTGAGTCACTCTTCCGACGAGCACTCGATTGCCATTTAATTCATAGGGTTTGCTATCGGAAGGTGTCGTGTGTTTAGTGTTGGAGATGTTAGCGAACGATACTTTCGAGACGCCGTCCACTGAAGCGCCGGCTGTTGTTGAGACCAATTTGTGGCGAACCGGAGATTTGCCGATCGAGTTGTTGTTCAAATATGTCGGCGCCGAACGCTTACCCGCCGGTGAAAACGTTCGGTTCATTGGACTGATTCGGCGACGAGTTTGGGGCGTCGGAAACGCTAGTATGTTATGCCGTAACTGTGGCGGAGGGGGCGGCGGAAGCGGTGGCGGTACTGGTGCTGTCTGTGCAGTTCCCATACAACTGTAACTACAGCAACAACAGTAGGGAAAGGGTTGCTGTTGTTGTGGAGGCATTAAAGCAGCGTTTGATGGGTTGGTGTTGCCGTTGGGATGAGCGGAAAGGATTATTTGCCTGAGTTGGCCGTTCTCGTCAACTATCTGTTGGATCATATGGCCCGGCGGTACCTGTGGTGAGGCACCCGAAAGCAATCCATTATATCAATTGCAACAAAATGTCCGCATTTCATAATAGGGTCATTCAATTGTCATTAAAACATGACTAAAAGGGTATATATAGGGGCGGAAGGCGTGGGACAGTTCCCTAAGTGATAGTCAAGACATGGTAATCAATTGGTCATACCTGGACAGGCATAGGGATGGGAGGGAATGTGTGTTGAGATATCATAGTGATAGTGGCCGGACCTCGAAGTATAGTCTCATTGCCATCGAATAGTTGTATGGAAACGGATTCGCCTAATAATGGCATTAAAAGTAATAAAACAAAATAATTAGAGAAAATGAATGAATTGAGAGCTCGTATTGATTGCTATACACTCTGTATGAGTGAAAATGAATGGAAATGAGGCCAAAGAGGAAACATTACCCGGATTTACATGTAAATCAACGAAATAAGGCGGTCCTGAGAGGGCTGACAGGCCTGACAGGGGAGACGCTGTCGAGTTCAACATTTGCCAAACAATTTGCTGCGAGAAGTGTGTGAATGCGAGTCTCAGATCGACTCATTCAAAGATGTCGATCGCCAGTTGATTCACAATCAGATTGTCTTCTAATGTCTTGTAATGGCAATCCTATTGGCAGTCAGTAATAGACATACAATTAGCACAGAAATACATTTTGACAGCTCATGACAATCACAACAATCGCAATATTGATAAACACTGAGAGTTATATTCACTTAAATGCGATACCAATTCATAATAAATGATAACTAATTGAATCAGTTTTTGCATTCAGAGAGTGATGTGTACTCACAAACAGTACTGTACTGTCAAATGTGTCAAAACAAATACCAAAGTAAAAACGCAAACCAAAGCCATGTATTAAATAACAAAATGTGTTCACAAATGGATTGTAAAAAAAGTTATAAAAACGAGACATTATTTCCTCAATTAAAACACATTTAGATTTGATTTGATATACAGTTTACTCAAACATAGGCTGTAATGCAAAGCCAGAGAAACAACACAACAGAGAAAAACAAGTAAAAAGCAATCATTGAATGAAACAAAAGCTGTTATCATATTTCTAAAGGGTGTAAGTGTTGTGTCAGTAACTGATTAGCGAAGTATTGGCTTTAATTAGTGGTTATATTAATAATTAAATGAATAAATGACAGCAACTTATTATAACAGCTGTTGCGCTAACACTGTATTCAAGTGGATGTCATTCACCACACAATACAATACAGTGACTGCGAGACAGTCCTAAACAGTGTAGTTGTGGTCAGTTGTGGTCACACTTACGGCTAGTGATGGCCACACATTGGCCGTCGGGTCAGCACTTGTGGCCAGTCATAGGGCGCCCATCGGATGAGTTGTGACAAACGCTATGTTCAGCACACGATATGAGCAAAATGTCAAACAACACAACACTAAACACTCACTCCCAGCGCCTCAACGCCTGAATACGTGGCAAACAACACATCACAACACATACAACACTATTATACACATACTCTTAGGGATGAACATTTCACTCAACTCAACATTTAGGCTAAATATTCACATTTTGGGCTACATTTTCATTACAATGTAAAATCTTCATATGTTTTTAAACTAGATACTTTTAATGTGGTGAAATATATGAACATCAAACTAATTAAAACATTTTTCATTTAAAATAATTACGAAAATTATTTTGGTTCTTTAAATACAGTATTTCAAATTTATTAAAGATTGTTGCAAATTCTGTTATATATTCTGTAAATATTTTACTTAAGGTATGAATTATAAAATTCTATACTACAAAATAATAATAAATTCACGACATATTCGTGTAGTCTGTTTAGTATTTAAATAAACTACTTTTTGATAATAGTTGTTAATTTAGTTTAAATTACACAAATTAGTAAATTTATTTAGTAATTATGTGTAATATAGATGTCGCTAATATAGAGTGGTTGAAAAATTAGCCTAAATGTTCATTGAGACCCCTAAACGTTGCCTAAATTTAGTCCTAAAAGTTGCCAAACTTTCACCACTTACATCTCTCTACATACTGTACATACACTGCCGTCAATTACGTCACTCCCTCTCCCCACACACTGTAGTGTATTGCACAACACATCACAACCCATACATCACAGCACAGGCCTCTCCTATAGGCCTACAGATTCATCAATAATTGACTATAAGTTTGGTATTTAATGTGCTTTCGCTGTAATACCCAAAAGGATTATCTTTTCAAAACATCCAATAATCGCCACAATATAATAGCTAGGGCGAACAGTTGTGTTTTTTTACTATATTGCAACATAACTGTGTTTTTGGGTTTATTTGAAAAGCGGAAGTTATTTATAAAAATTATAAGTAAAATCTGCAAGGAGTCGAATGATATACTTCATATGGCCAGACGATCTCTTGTTTGACCGCAGTGACCACTTTTATTTAAAAAAATTTTAAACAAAATATTGTATTTTTTGTATAACTATTAAGGCAAACAGTGGGGGGTTTTTCATATAGTGCAACATAAGCTCTTAAGTCTTTACGTTAATGGCGGGTGAGAAACTACATAAACCTTTAAGTTGAAAGTTAGGTCAGACAAAGCCTGTGTCATTGCGCATCCCATTTAAGAATATTATTGTATAAATATTTCAATATAACTTCAATTCAATAGAACATAATTCAATAATAATTATGAACATTAATTGCATAACTAAATATTTTCCGTAACGAGAACACGTCTTCAAACAAATAGTGAGAGACAAAGGTCCGTGTCGGTGTCTCTTGGGTAGTGTTGTAAATTACATGTAATATAGATTTTTATTATACATATTACAGTCATATGACGTCATATAACGTCACATAGTGTAATATAGAAAATACACATTTTGCTTAAATAATGCTAATTTAGAAATCATAACTAAATTTACAATACATTCATCACTTGTATTGTTAATAGATTATCGAAACGCACTTCCTATGGCTATTTTATTGTGTTTCAATTAATTTTTTTAATAATAGCGTTAATTACAATATCATAATTGCTCAGTCAATAGGTGGCGCCAGAGCTATATTACACTTTTTGTAATATAAAATTTCTATATTACACTTTACATGTCATATAACTGTAATGTAAAGTGTTATATGACGTCATATGACAGAACTCACAACACTACTCTTGGGTAACGCTAACAGACCTATTAACAATGTTGAAGTAAATACAACATTACACTTTAATATATACTTTTTTCCCCTTTTTTCACCTTTTTCTGTTCGCCATAATAATAGCTTATAGTTTTACTAACACTTTCTCTGTGTATCACTTCTTATACACTATTTCCTAAATTCATAAACATTTTCAGGTCTAAAATATGCCTAAATTCGATTAAAACATTTCAATTTAAAATATTATACCGGTACAGTTAAACCTCCCGATCTCGAACTGGTCGGGACACAAATGTTTGTTCGAGTTATAGAGGTTTTCGAGTTATGGAAAAATGTTTAATTATTTACAAAAAAGTTCGAGTTATAGAGAATTCTGTTTTAATTGACAATGTTGTGCTTCTATGCATTATTTTATGAATACAATTTTTTGTAATCAAAATTAATTAGAATTAAAATTACATTTTATGAAAAAATTAGATAATAAATTGTCACTTTTAGATCACAAACATTTGTATAGTGTATTTGTATAATACATATTTTACAATTCAGGAAAAAATTCGAGTAGTGGAGGTTCAGTGAAAGGTATTAGGTCTGTGAAAATAGTTTCCGTTTCGGAATACAGAGGTTCGAGTTGTAGAGGATTTCGAGTTACAGAGGGTTCGAGATATGGAATATTAACTGTACTTTTAGTGTGTATTTTATAATTTTAGTTTAAAACTAAAAAATTTCAAGTTTTAAACTTAAACCGTTATAACTTAAACGTTAGTGTAATTAGCAAAGTATTTCTTAAATATGAAAGTATCCAATGTTTTACTTTACACGAGTTTACCATTCAATTCAGTTTTCATATGAAATGAAATCAAACGAGTCTTAAATCAAAACTTTTAATTTATTTTCAAAAATGAATAATTGAATCAAAACTTTTGGAAAGACTTCTTAGCGCTGGCGCTTTTGATCACTTTTAACACATTAAAGCGAACCGTTTTGCTCAGCGGACGGCACTCTCCGATCGTCACCCAATCTCCCAGCGCTACGTCTCTGTAATGCAAACAAACTATTGGTTTAGTCATCAATTCATCACCAATTGTATCAAAAAGACCACAAATCATAGAATTATAAGCGAATAAAATCAGATAGTAATCGAAATCTCCTCAAAAGAATCTATTGTCTCAGTAGACCGTCGTGTTTATCATCACGTTATCAATGGCGGCATTAAAGCGGAGGAATATTAAGACAACACGTGATTACCTAAAACATGGCGACAAATGGACTGACATGTTTCGGTGCCGTTTCTCGAATCGGTTGTATTTCTTAATGAAGTGAAGATAATCTCTTCGGATGACAATAGTTCTCTGCATTTTCATCTTCACCACAACTCCTCTTAGGATACGTCCTCTGATGGCAACGTTTCCAGTGAAGGGACACTTCTTGTCGATATACGTGCCTTCGATAGCCTGACAATACAATTGATAGCAATTCATATCAAACACACAAAACACGTGTCCATCAAATGTCATACCTCTCGGGGAGTCTTGAATCCGAGGCCAACATTGCGGACATAACGCAATGTTTTGCGGACTTTTTGTTTGCCGATTACAGGCTTTCGGTTCAGATTAATGGTCGGCTGTTTCTGAAACGCCCTTTCGGTCTATCGGTTGTGTGGAGACAAGTGGTCATCAAAAATGTCATATAAAGTCATTGATTGAGTACCTGATCAGCCATTGTGTCCAAGAAATGGTCAAACTATGGATCAAAACGTGACAAAAAACACCATATATTAGACCAAAGAGGAAAAGGAAACACACTTTTCACACAGACTGCACACAAATAACGTGACAGTATTGTAGGGGCCGTTCATATATAGCGTTGACCTAATGTTGCCATTGTTTGCCGTTTGGTGTCTCAGTGTGTGTGAGAGTGGCGTACGTGAGACTCGTCTCTGCATTGTATTCACTGTGAGTTACGACTCATATGTTTGAATGCATTACTCTCTTATAGAGCACTAAAATGGCTGTCATTTGCTATGGATTGCCGTCTCTTTGATTGTCTCCCTCTTGAGTGCAGACATTGATTGACGCAAAGCATAGACACGATTGCGTCTGTGATTGAGTGAAGCATTCATTCATTGGTCTCGTATTGCAATCGATGAGTGTTTTGACTAATTATATGCGAGAGTAGTGTTTGAGTGAACACTCGCTTACAGTTAATGTTGACATCAATTCAATCGCTTTAAACTTTAAACACAATATTTCAATGATTTTTACAATCAATTCAATTATGATTTCGTTGATTGCATTCAAAGTGCAATTCAATGACCGCTTCTCCTATTGAGTGCACTTTCGATGACTTACTATTAGACTTGTCTTCAATTAATCGCTTTAATTGTTATACACATTGAGAGCAATGGGTTTAACGGACAATAACTCGACGACAATACCGCGGATTCAGGTCTTCAGACCGAAGATCGAAGAGATGAAGGACTTCTCCAAATATCTGGAGTATATGGAGAGTCAGGGCGCCTATAAGGCGGGTCTCGCAAAGGTATTGCTATCACCATTGGATCCGTGGCCTCATTTCTAATGCTCTGACGATAACTCTTACAGATTATTCCTCCGCCCGAATGGAAGCCCCGGAAGAAGGGTTACGGAGACATAGATTTGATGATTAAGGCGCCGATCCAACAGGTGGTTCAGGGCGGACAAGGGCTGTACCAACAGTACAACATCCAGAAGAAGGGCATGTCTGTGAAGGACTTCGAGAAGATGGCGAACTCTCCCCGATATAAGACTCCAACCTATTTTGATTACGACGACTTGGAGCGCAAGTACTGGAAGAATGTGACGTTTAATCCGGCCATTTATGGCGCAGACGTGTCCGGGAGTATAACCGACGACGACTGCAAAGAATTCAATATTAATAATTTGAATACATGTCTGGATATGATTAACGAGAGCTATGGCATTAAGATAATGGGTGTGAACACCGCTTACCTCTACTTCGGAATGTGGAAATCGACGTTCGCCTGGCATACAGAGGATATGGACCTCTACTCAATCAATTACCTCCACTTCGGACAACCCAAGTCTTGGTATTGCATTCCTCCAGAACACGGCAAACGACTCGAACGCTTGGCTAATGGTATGCCTTCTAGTGATGAATTGCATTGTATTGTATTGTTATATGTCTTACTTTCTACGATAGGATTCTTCCCCAGCAGTTACAAACAGTGTCCAGCATTTCTTCGCCACAAAATGACACTAATATCACCGCAAGTGCTGAAGAAGTATTCGATTCCATTCAATAAGATCACACAAGAAGAGGGAGAGTTTATGATAACGTTTCCGTATTCATATCACGCGGGCTATAATCATGGCTACAATTGTGCCGAATCGACCAATTTTGCACTTCCGCGTTGGGTTGAGTTCGGCAAACGCGCCGTCAGAGTATGTCCTCAATTGAACCGCACTTTTGGATGTATTAATTGATTTGTGTTTTCTCTTATATATCAGTGTCTCTGCCGTTCGGATTCCGTTCAGATAAATATGGAAACGTTTGTCCAGAAGTATCAGCCCGACAGATATCAACTGTGGCTCCAGGGGAAGGACATCGGACCTGATCCTAAAGACACGAGTCATGTGTGCGCCGCTCCCGCGCCCTCCACTTATGAAAGGGATATTATGTCCAAATTGTATGATTTATTCAATATGTTGTGTGTTTTGTTTACTAATAACTGTATTAATGTTTAGTAAAAAACACAAACGACATCCACCGCACAAAAAGGACTTCTCGTCGGATACTGAAGAGTATAATAGCGACGATTGCGAAGACGACTGTCCGCAACAGTGGACGCCTCCCACAAAAGCTGCTCGAAAAATGTTTGAAACGACCGAAGAAAGCGTTGAAATGAATTCTGTAATATCGGCGCCGAGTATAAGTAGCTACTCACGCCTGCGGTAGAGAAGATACGGATTTGGCGGCTGATAAAGGCTTTGGTAAGTAGCTAACGTAGTTTTAGAGTTGAGAAGACGGCTATTTTTATTTCTATTCTTTGCCTTCTTTGGAATGAGTGAGACATCAGTTCCGCCACATCTTCTCAACCATTCATATGCAAGACTCGATCACAAGTCTCGTGTCTCGTCCTGTACTCAACCCAATAACTCTCAAACTAATTGTGAATATTTCGCACATTTTGCACTCAACGATAGCGCCATTTCGGACACCACTCACACATCGGAATCAAGCGAACGACAAGAACTGAACAATACCTCAAATTCTCATTCATATGCATCGCATTCGTCTGCATTGAATCAGTCGACATCCCATTTGCAGTCCCCTTCAAACCCGGATTGTATGTATAGTCCTGTCCTTCAAAATAAGTTAATAAGTGATTCGATGGCAAACCGAATGAGCGAATCCAATAATCAGATGGTATCACAACCGCCAGACATCAGACCATACTATGAATATAGTGCTGATAACACGAATTTCTCCTCAAAGCCACCCCTACTTACAGCACCAGAGTTGGGACAACCGTTTGAACACAATTCGGATAACTATGACATGAATTGTACGCTTGAAGTGAAAGAGGAGTCAAAGGAGTTGAACAATGGATTGAGAGGAATGGTTGAGGCGAGCACTTCGACTGAAGATTTGGATATAACGAGTCCTTTTAGTGAAGAGTTGAGCCCTTCGATGCACAATATCGGTGCAAATAACGTAAGTGTCAGAGTATTTAAATTGTTTAAAATCATTAAAAATTAATTCATTAATAATTATTTAATATAAATTAAATCGTTTAAAACGAGAATAACTGTATATTTGTTATAGTTTTTTGATTTGACAAAATGTGACAAATAATGCGCTGAAATTGTCTTCAAATAAGCTTTAGTTTTAAAGTAATTGTTAAATATTATATAAACTTATTGTCTCTAAGAATTTATTTATAACTTATAATATATTAGAACTTATATATAATATATACTGTATATTAAAGAATCTTTTATGAAACCATTATTTGTATTAGTAAAGTATAAGATTATGGATAACCATATTGACAAAGGGTTTAATTGCGAATAACCTTGGTTAAAGCTCGTCAAGACGGTGTATAACAGGTATTCTTATCGTAAATAATCGCAATTATGGTCACTCCCGTTATTTTATCGCTACAGTTGTCTAGATTTGATTAATTGGTTTGAAATATTTTCATTTCGACGTCCATTGAATTTTATTTAATAAACTATTCATAAGTGAATTAATAGACAGTATTGTATTTCGCATGTAATTATGATTCAATGTTTTTTTTGGCCAAATGGTGACAATTTTAGCGAATTTAAGGGAACAGATATTGAACCCAACTTTTTGTTGTATTGAGCGAACAATATATGTGCAAATGGACAGGTAGGTGACAGATGTGAATGTTGTCATTCAAACGAGTGTTCATTTCGCTAATTGTCTGTCAGACGCTCATGGCTTACCTTCAGTAAAGTAAGACAATATTATAGTCCAAATTATTATTATTCTGTTTCTATTATAAGAATCACACATCAATTTTACATTTTTCTCTATTAAGTTTTGTAATATTTTAAAAGATTTATCCATTTCCCATTTTTAGTACTAGATTATAATAAATTAAATTTTAATTAACTCATATTAAATATTAATTAAAAATTATGCGCGAAAATCATATTGAATTTGTTGCATACGATAAAGGCATGCAATTATTATATGTACTCGTCAACTTCTCTCTCTCTCCCCTTCTTTCTCTCCCTCTCATTGACCAGGGTCAAATGACCAATTGATTTGTTCTGAACCCCTCCCCCTTTTGAATACTATTTTTATATAATTTTTATGCAAATTAATATACCTCTGGATTTACTGGATTTTCGTGTTTAGATTGTGTGTGTGTTTGGATGGAGAATAAACTTATATTAAAACTTTAAAGTTTAATAAATAGTGATCAAAATAATTGTTAAAATTTTAAATATTGATTAATTCCATAAATGATTTATTTGATAGGATTTGACTTTAGAGGAGCTGACAAAGAAGACATTACAATACACACCATTAAGTTGTGGTCTTTCTCCACAGGGTTTTCACGATGAGATTCGGTTCAACATCTGTATGTCAACAATAGGCCCGCATTGTGTGATCTGTAATCTACTCAAACCCTATCAACTCATGCCAAACGCCCGCTTATCAGACCTGGAGTCGTGGTCTCCGCCCAAATCGAGTCAAATTCTGATACCAAGTCTTGCCTTTACCTCTAAAGTCAAAGATGAGAACACTTTACTCGATTCCAGAGATACTTCCCCTTTGATTGTGTGCATTGACTGCAGAATATGTGTTCACTCAGGTATTTATATTTTTAATGTTTTTAATGAATATTTTTAATGATAATTTTGTATTGACTTCAGTGTGT